GGTTCTGCTTTTATAGGAGTAGGTAGTGTACTCCTAGTAGGATTGTGTTGGTTGGATGTTTTTATCCAAGGGAATTTCTATTATAAAGAATGTCCTACTTGAAATGGAATTGTTTGACAAGTGGTGTTAGGGTTGATGTAGAATCCTTGGGTGTTTAGGTTTGTTAGTTAGGTACCCAGGTCCTAGGAGGTATGTTGGTGGTGTATGTCTCGAGGACTATTCTCGAGGACATTGAGGGAATGTAAATGTGTCCTCGAGGTATCTCGAGGACTACAATATCTCGAGGACATAGATGCCCTCGAGGACCGAAGAAGAGAAATGAGGTGGGGTATAGATTGAGTCCTCGGGATACACTTCTCGGGGTATATCAATATTGACATAGTCAATTATTATTGGACACATCCTGAATCGAGCAGGTAAAATTTTGACATTGAAACCTATTCCTGAAATAGATAGGGGATGTATAATGAAAACGATTTACAAATAAGTAGTTCAAAACATGTCATATCAAGACGAAGTTTGTGAAAATCGGGTTAGTTGGCTCAAATATCGGACACCTTACTTGCCCTCTTTTCTTCCCAAGATTACTACTCAAAATCCTAACACTCGGCATATATATGCACCATAACCTTGAAAAAGATTGGTTAATGAAGAGAGTTCCAAAATAGGCCTTCAATATTTTCAGCTCCCATGTCACATATAGAATTGCGAGAAAAATATAGAAATTTGTGTTCACCGAAATGTGCGTGCAATGACCTACCTCTCTTTATAATGTCTATATATCACAAGAAAGTTAAAATAATATTGTAGAATATTTGCGGTAAAAGATGTGACAAATTTATTTAATATAAATCAATCGTCGAGCCACGATTTTGCTCTCAAGATGTGCAATTAGAGGAATAAATAGAGACATACAACATTGGTATTTTAATGAAGAGAAGGTCTAGACGGCTCAACCAAGAACCAAGAACTGAGAGAAGGATTAATTTCAATCCACTCTTTTTCCGAGTAAATTTATTAACTATAAATCGAAACTTATTTTAATATTTTTTAATTGAAAATTGGTGACTCGAGAGTTTAAATTTGTATAAACTCAAAAGCAACACAAATAACTCGGGGCCTTTGGTGAAAATTTTAGACTCGCCTTTTCAAGAATAAATATTTGTTTTTGTACCAAAAATAAATCTTGCGTACACATCGGTATCGTGTTATTTCATTAAAAAAAGGGAAAAATTTTAAACTATGAAAGTTTTTAAGTACAAAAATGATAAACAATTTTCTAGCCGATAGACCCACCTCACATAGTCGTCAATAATCATCCTACGCGCCAACAAAACTTATCCCGTTTGTGCTATAAAAAAGGCCAACTTACCTATTTATTATATTAGCCCCCGGGGCATAGTTTAGTGGTGCAAAGGACAGGAGTGATGTTATCTCACGCTTTGCTGACAGCCGTAGTGTGGGGATTCGATTCCTGAGACATGGAGTTGGACTCCTTGTAGGCGCAGTGTACAGGCAGCTCTTGTTCCCTGACCTGTTGGGGTACATTCCGCGATTTACCTCCCTCACAAAACTCTAAGGACGGGACGGTGGGGGTCCTCAAGGTTGGGGTTCAACATTTTTAAAAAAGGCCAACTGATACTGCTGTTATAACCTGAAAAGGGACAAAACTGGCAGGTTAAATTAAATGCCACACTTCTAATTAAAAACCTTGTACACAACTGAATTTTAGTAGAACATGAATGTTATTGATGCTACCAAAAATCGTACATGTTAATTTTCGAGCTTGATGATTTTGATTAAGCACGATCGTAGTCTTCCGGTACTTGAAACAAAGACAACGAGATATATTCTCGTCGCCCCTCCGATGCTTAAGTCAAAAAGGGAATTATATGCGTGAGGCTATAAATTGGAGAAATCCTATTCATTTTTCACTTTTTACTCTCTGTGAATCTTCAAGTGCAAGGACGGGTTCGAGCTATAAACTTAACTTTTGTTGTTTGGGCGTCGGGTTCCTTGAGGTAAGGTTCTGGACTTTTAAGTTATTTATTTAGTTTTAAATTGAAGAGATATGTCGAGCACTGAGTGTGATCGGGGTTTTGAGAGTTTGGGTGATTCTGAGGACCGTAGGGCTCAGTTAATACCTGTTGTTGTTCCTTTAGATGCTCGACCTAGGGAGCCAAATGTTGTCGAGCTTACGTTTTTCGACGCCCAATGTAGGTTTAAGGAACACCTGGCTATGCAGGTGGTGAGGGAATATGGGCTCAAGCTCTACAATGACTGTAGGTCTCCCGACCCCGAGGATAGAATGAATAGGGCACGGGAAGGTGAGTTTATGATTTTTAGGGACTCTTTCAAGGCTGGGTTTAGGTGGCCCATGCACCCCTTCTTTGTAGGCTTCTTGGTCGAGCATTCTATGTGCCTGAGGCAATTAGTGCCCAATGGGTGGAGAATGCTCATCTATTTCTTCATTGCCTGTATATTCCTAGGAATCACCTCTACCTCGATCTTTGTAGGATGGTGTTCGAGCTTAAACTGCTCCCTAGGTTCACCTGTTTTGCTTATCTTTCCCCTCGAGATTCATTTAGGATCCCGAGGATGCCTAGTTCACTGAAGGGGTGGAAGGATAAGTGGTTTTATGTTATAGCTCGGGATCTCGATCACCCTTTTTGGCCTTTGTGGGATATCCCAGATACAGCAAAATTTTGTGAGGGACAGGCCTACTTCGAAACTCTAGAGAGGGATTGGCAGATGCTAGAGGATCTCGAGCCCTTGGTGTATGATATGGATGATATTCTCGGGGATGACATCCTCAATCTTGCGTGTTAAAGGCCTCAAGGGTAGGATATTTATTCTTCTGTTTGATTTATGAATTATGCTCGATCATAAGCTCTTGCCTAATACTTCTTTTTGTGCAGAAATGTCTTTTGATCCATCAGCTCTTCGTTGAGCAATGAGCTTGAAGTCCAAGGAGCCACAGGTTAGGGCTCCAGGTCAGAAGAAGGAGAAAAAGAGACCTGGGTATACACAACTAATTCTCTTCCTCAAGGTCCATGAGAGTTGTCAAGGCCTTGAGATCCGAGCCGTCTTCCCCCTTGTCGATAAGGGGGTTCTCCTAGGCAGACACCGAGGCAATCGCAGCCACTACCTCCTCGGGTAACTCCCCGAGGTTGTTGATCTTGAGGATGACTCTATTCCTCCTATTGCCTCGATCATTGAGGATTTTGAGCGATGCCATCTGGTCCCGAGCATCGTCGTGAAATACAGAAGGGACATCGGGTTTGATGAGGGCATGAAGGCCTTTGAGTTCCTTACCTTAAAATTAAATGTCTTGCCCTTTATGATTTTGTGCCAAAGTATTTTTCCCGTTCTTATCCTCTTGATTTTTGGTTGACAGACACTCAGTGTCACCCGAGGCCTTTCTCTGCAAGGGATGGACGAGTCCCACAAGATGGCTAGGCTGGTCGAAGCAGTAGAGCTTCGAGATAAGAAACTTGCTGATGCTGAGGCTGCTCGATCTCAGCTCCAGAGGGAGCATGAGGATGCGAGGAATGAGATGAAGTGGGGGCGGCCAAAGGATGAGACCGAAGCGGTGAAGCTCGAGCTTGAACAACTCAAGAAGGATTTTGAGGCTAAGGTTGAGAAGGCTCGGGCTTCAACAATCGAGGACTTTAAAAAGTCTGAGGAGATGGATAGGCTGAAGGGTGAGTATGCGTTAGGCTCGTACCTTCACGCCCTTAAAGAAGCACAGGCCTTCCTCAGGATGAAGATGCCCGAGGTTGCCCCTGAGGAGCTAAAAATGATCCCGGACATAGCTGAGACCCTCGAGCTGTCTGATTTCGACAACACAGTCGATGATACAGTCGAGGATGAGGATGCGCTCGAGGATGTTGATAATGTCCCCAGGGACGACCAAGATTAGAATATCCTAGGCCCCCTCCTCGTTTATAAATTCCATATACATTGCCCGATCATGGGCTTTTTTAGAAAGAACATTTTTTGAAATGAATGCTCGACTTTATCTTGTTGTCTTTTTTCCATTATGCTCGATAACTAACGTTGATATTTTATTAAAGTTGTATCTCGATGGTTTAGTTTAGGAATTTTTCCAAGTAATGAACTCGATCATGACACCGATAATGCTTTTAACATGTAACCCAACGACGGAATGAGGATTGTAAACTGCTTAAAAAGTCTTGACATAATCCACATGATGTTTCAGATCAAGGTAATATCTCGATCCTAGGGTCATTCCTTAACATAGAATTATCTCGAGGACTAAACTTCACAATCATTTTCGTAAGAATACATTGAGCTCGAGCATATACATGTTTATCTCGAGGACTTAATTTCATAAAATCATTTTCTTACAAATGCATTGAGCTCAAGCATATTATACATGTATATCTCGAGGACTTGATTTTATAAAATCGTTTTTGAAATAATATGGTGAGCTCGATCATACACAGATATATCTCGAGGACTCCATTTTATAAAATCGTTTTTGGAATAATATGGTGAGCTCGAGCATACACAGATATATCTCGAGGATTCCATTTTATAAAATCATTTTTGAAGTAATATGGTGAGCTCGAGCATACACAGATATATCTCGAGGACTCCATTTTATAAAATCATTTTTGTAAGTGTGATGAGTTCGAGCATACACATTAATCCATTATTGCTTGGGAGAAGACTTTGAAGGTGTTTGCGCGGAGCAAGGCTTTCGAGGTGCTTGCGCGGGGTAAGACTTTTAAAGTGCTTGCTTGGGGTAAGGCTTTTGAGGTGCTTGCACAGGGCAAGGCTTTTAGTAGCGAAATCACATTTTGATGAATAGCTTAATTCTTATTATACTTTAAAAATAGACTGGCACGCAGGCCTGACAACTAAAAACATGAACCTTGGCACGCAGGCCTGAAAACTGAAAACGTGAACCTTGACACGCAAGCCTGACTACTAAAAAATGGAAGAACAAGTTACTTGTAATATATTTTTAAATTCTAGGCATTCCATGGTCTTGGAAGTGGTCTTTCTGATATATCCCTTAAACTATATGCACCTCCTTGAAGCTGTCGTATGACTTCGAAGGGTCCTTCCCAAACTGGTCCTAGCTTGCCCGGGGCATAATTTGCTGCTTCAGCTCTTCTTAATAAAAGGTCTGCGGCTCTGAATCTACGCATCCTCACTTTTTTATTGAAATACTTTGCTATTTTATCTTGGTAAGAGGCCATTCTTAAAGTTGCCTGATCACGAACTTCTTCCAAGAGGTCGAGATGTTCAGTAGTGGTCGAGATGTTCAGTGGTGTGCCTTGCATCTTCGGGCTCAAGTCTTCTTTGGCTGGGCAACCTGACTTCAACAGGTATGGTGGCCTCAATACCCAAAGCCAACATGAAGGGGGTTTCCCCCGTAGCGGTTTTGTGGGACGTTCTATACGTCTAAAGTATGGACGATAACTCATCAGACCAGGAACCTCTTGCACCTCCGATCCTTGTACAGAGGTCTTGCAATATAATCCGATTGGTCACTTCGGCAAGACCATTACTTTGAGGATGGGAAACTGATGTTAAATGGTGATCGACCCCCAAGTTAGAGTAGAAGTTTTTAAATTGTGCATTGTCAAACTGCCTACCATTATCAGTTATGAGGACTTTCGGTATCCCGAACCTGCATATGATGGACCTCCAAATGAAAGTTCTCAACTTAGGCTCTAAAATTGTTTCTAAAGGCTCGGCCTCCACCCACGTAGTGAAATATTCTACAGCCACAGCCACAAACTTCAATTTGTCCCCTAATTATTGGAAAGGGACCAAGGATGTCAATTCTCCACTGCTTAAACGAGGCCGTGCAACTAATGCTAGTAAGGTTCTCTGCGGGAGAGTGGATAATATTACCGAATCTCTAGCACTTTTCACACTTCTTAACATAGTCTTGGGCGTCTTTCTTCATGGTAGGCCAATAATATCCATACCTTATAAGCTTGAAGTCTAATGCCCGAGCTCCTTGATGGTTCCCACATATTCCTTCATGAACTTCTTCTAGGGCTTGGGATGATTCGGAAGGCTTAAGGCATCTGAGGTATGGAAGTGTGAGGCTTCTGCGAAATAGAACTCCTTCAATCATGCAATACCTTGGAGCTTTGGACCGGATGCTTCCTGCTGCTCGGGGATCCTCTGGAAGATTGCCATGATTTATGAAGTCCACTATTGGATCCATCCACGATGGCTCATTATCAATAGCCATGACGCCTACGATTTGATTGATGCTTGGTTCGATTACAATTCTAACGTGGACTATCCTATCAAGCCCATCTATTCCCATGAACACCAATCTTGACAAGGCATCGACCTTACAATTCTCAGCCCGAGTAATTTTCACAATTTCACAACTCTTGAACTTTCTTTGGAGATCATGCACTTTCAAGCAGTATAAGCTCATCTTCTCGTCTTTCTTGTTGAACGTCCCTTCAATTTGTCCAACCACCAACTGGGAATCACTGTAAATTTTGATATTTTCAAGCTTGAGATTGATGGCAAGTTCCATGGCTATGATGATGGCCTTATACTTTGCTTCATTATTGGTCGCCTCAAATTCGAACCTGAGTGCACATTGAATGTCTATGAGCATGTCCGGGCTTATGATTATGACCCCTGCACCCGAGCCCGAGGAGTTTGATGCTCCATCTACAAAAATTTGCCACACTTCTGTGGAAGAGCTCAAGCTACCATCTGGCCCTCGAGGCCTTGGGGTGAGTTCTGCAATGAAGTTAACTAAGGCCCGAGCTTTGATAGATGGGCAAGGGCAAGCTGTTTTGCCAAAGTGTATCTTGTTTCTGCATTAATTAGGACTTTACTTACGTAATAAATGGGTTGCTGGGCCCTGTTAACCTCTTTCACCAAGACACCACTTACTGCATTCTGAGACACGGCTAAGTACAAATACAAAGTATCCACTGGCTCGGGTTTGGTGAGGATAGGAGGAGATTCCAATGTCTGCTTGAGCTCCTAAAAAGCTTTCTCGCACTCCTCATTCCATTCAAAGCAATGATTACCTCTGAGGGCTTTGAAGAAGGGAAAGCACTTGTCTGTTGCTCGGGAAATGAACCTGTTTAAGGCAACTACCCTGCCTATCAACTTTTGAACTTCTTTCTTAGTCCTTGGTGATTCCATTGCTGCCAAAGCCTGAATCTTATCAGGGTTGGCCTCAATCCCCGGATGAATGATCATGAAACCTAGAAACTTTCCCGAAGCTACGCCAAAAACACACTTCTCTAGGTTGAGCTTCATCTTATACTTTCGTAGGGTGGTGAACACTTCCTCGAGATCAGATACATGTCTTTCTACCTTCTTGCTCTTTACCACCATGTCATCAACGTAGGCCTCAATATTCTTCCCTATCAAATTTACTGAAGATTTTGTTGATCAGTCTCTGATATGTTGCCCCAGCATTCTTCAACCCAAACGGCATGACCCTATAGCAATATATGACTGAATCAGCCATGAATGAGGTCTTCTCTTGGCCTTCTTTGGCCATGAAGATTTGATGATACCTTGAGAATGTATCTAAAAAGCTGTACAGCTTATGTCCGGATGTGCTATCCACAAGGTTGTCAATCCTAGGTAGTGGGTAGCTGTCTTTTGGGCACGCCTTATTGAGATCTGTGAAGTCGATGCAGACCCTCTATTTACCACTAGCCTTCTTCACAAGAACAACGTTAGTGAGCCAATCGGGGCATTCGACTTCCCTTATGTACCCCGCTCTCACCAATTTGTCGACCTCTTGCTGAATGACCATACGTCTTTCCGGCGCAAACTGTCTCCTCCTTTGCTTAACAGGTTTGGCCCCTGAGCTGATATTGAGTCTATGGACAGCTTCTTCTGGGTCTATCCCTAGCATATCCTCCACCTTCCATGCAAAAATATCAATGTTGCAGGACAAACAATTGATGACTTCCTCCCGGAGGTTGGCCTTGAGATCTCGACCAATAGTTACCGCTTTTTCATGCTCGAGCTCGACCACTTCCAATTCCTCAACGGGGGCCAATCTACCCCTTGACTCGAGCTCGAGGTCTGAAAGTTACATGACGTCTGTACCCATTCCTCGGATGCTACTAACATAGCACTGTCTGGCAGCTATTTTGTCTCCTCGAACTACTCCGATGCCATGACCTGTGGGGAACTTCATGGCCAGGGAAAGTTGATACAATAGCCTGGATCTTGTTCAGTAAGGGTCTTCCCAGAATGATGTTGTAGGCCACTGGGGTATTAACCACTTGGAATGGTGTGATCTCCGTCACTTGTGTATTACCAGATCCTAATGTAAGCGGAAGCTCGACGATGCCCTCAGGGATAATGACTCCACCACCAAATCCCTGTAGAGGAGTTTTTACTGCTTTGAGCTGTTTGGGAGAGATCCCCATTTTGGCGAAAGCCTCCTACAAGAGTATATTTGCTGCACTCCCATTATCAACCAAAATCCTCTTTACTCCGAAGTTAGCCACAACCGTAGAGACGACCAAGGCATTGTCATGAGGATATGATATTCCTTCCAAATCTCTTGCTCCAAAAGTGATGTCTTTGACTTCATCACGGGATTCTCTTGGGGTATGAGCATGTTGGCGGACATATTTCTTTTGCCCACTACTTGTGTCTCCTCTCGACAGTGGGTTGAGCACTGCTTTCGGCTCCAGGCTCTTTCCAATTGTCACGACCATTCCTCGAGCGTTTATCATGACCAATGTAATTCCTTAAGAATCATTTTTTAATGAGAGCTTCAATTTTCCGCTGTAAAGCTTGACAATCCTCTACGGTATGCCCATGATCTCGGTGAAATTCGTAATACTTGCTCCTATCTCTTGTGTTAGGAGGAAACTTTATCCTTGAAGGTCACTTTAATTCTTTCATATCCTTAATCTCCATCAAGATGTTCGTCTTAGAGGTGTTCAACCGAGTGAGAGGTGCTGACGGGGCCTCACTCCTACGCTTATCTCGAGGAAGCTCATGCCGGGGGACGGGATCATGTTGCCTCTTATTTTTGGTCTTTTCATGAGAATAACCAGCTCTCCTTGGAATCAACGTTTTCTCCATATTAATGTACTTTTTAGCTCGATTAAGGAGCTCGATTACTGTAGGTGGTGGGGTCTTTGATAAAGACATTTTGAAGGCCTCACACCTTATGGCGTAGGTGAGGGCGGAAACTGTTGCTGTGATGTGAATGTCAAGTATTTGAAGCCTTTCTTTGTTAAATCTTGTCATAAATCCTTGTAGGGTTTCAGTTGGTCCTTGACGAAGTTGCATGAGAGAGGCCGCGATCTACCTGATTCACTTGTTACTTGCAAAGAAGGTTGAGAACTTATTAACCAAATCTGAGAATGAGGCTATGGAGTTGGGCTCCAATATCGAGAACCAATCTCTAGCAGCATTAGTCAGCGTTTGTGGAAAGGCTTTGCACATAACCTGATCCGGCGCAACTTGCAAGTTCATGATATCAGTATATACATTGAGATGGTTGATGGGGTCGGTCGTCCCATCATACTCTTTAATGCGAGGATATTTGAATCTGTCGGGCAAGGGATATGACAATATCTATGGCGTGAATGGAGTGCTAGGGATGAAACCTTTTGGCCCCCGAGCATTCTGTCGCTAGCCAACTGTAATTCCTTCTTAAATGATCCGGGTAATTTCACCGAAATCCATGGCGATCGATCTCGAGCCCGAGGCCATATTGTGGATACCCAAGGTTCCTACTCTGCCAGTATAGGGTTTGGTGGTCGTGCTCGAGCATCAGCCATAAAACCGCCATGCTCTGCCTGCACTGGCAACGGATGTGAATTTCTCTGACTTAACAGTTGCGTGAGCGTGGCCACCTGTTGATGGAGCTCTTCAAAGGCTTCGGTTGTGACGACCGCTGGCAGAGGTGTGGGCACTCCTGACGATTCTTCGTGAGGAGCTGGTTGATTTTCGTCAGGATGAGGAATGTGAGCGGATGAGCTTGCGGGGGAAAGACCTAATCGTGTGTTAACCATGGCTTTTGGTAGCGATTCCCACAGACGGCGCCAATGATGCTACCAAAAATCGTACATGTTGATTTCCCGAGTTTGATGATTTAAATTGAGCACGATCGTAATCCTCCGGTACCTGAAACAAAGGCAACGAGGTATGTTCTCGTCACCCCTCCGATGCTTAAGTGAGAAAGGAAATTATATGCGTGAGGTTATAAACTGGAGAATAATGAAAAATGTACCTGAATAATGGCTCAAGGTTCTGTATTTATAGTAGCAAGTGACATTCTCCTAGTGGGACTCAACTAGCTAGATATCCTTATCTATTGGAGTCTTGTACGGTTAAGAAATTGGACAAATACCAAAATTATGCTTAAGATAGAGTCCTTATTAGGGTCAAGTATCGAAATAGTAATCCATAGTTAGAGTTCTAAGTAGATAGGAATCCTATTGGATCAACACAACCCAAGAAGCTCGAGGAGACGAATTCCCGAGGACATCATATCCCGAAGACCTCAGGCATACAACACCGTCGTCACACGATTGCCCATCCTCGAGCATGTGTCATCAAGGACAATGCTCGAGGACATCAAGCTACAATATGATGAGGGAGTTATTTCCAGTCATCGAGGATAATGCTCGGGTATAGACGAATAATAAGGTGTATCAGTTATAAAGTTAGATTCGAACTTGGAAAAAGGTTCAACAATGCTCTGTGTGTACCAAAAATATTTTATGGAATTTTGATTTATCACAGGATGCTCTCGTCGTGGCTAAGACACGTAAGGATACATCTCGTTATATTGTGTATCAAATACCTGGATAACATTTTACGATTCATCGGGCAGGTTAGACCTGAACTATAAGCCACTCTCGAGTATTACGTTAAGATAATATAGCATAAAAAGAAGATTAGATCTTTTCAAAATCATCTTTGTATATATACATTACTCACGTGTACAGAGTTAGGACTGGACTAAAAACTCTTTTATGCTGGACCGATATGTAAAGATAGAATAAAAAATTCACACCCACACACACACATACATATGTATATACAGTGGTGGTAGACATTTTCAGTTAGTGGAGTACAATCATATTTACAAAGAATACAAATTTACCTTTATCTTGAACATCACCAAGTTTATCTCCAACATCATTTTCATCACTTTTATCTCGAATAATCTTTTCATTAACATTTCTATTTCATAAGAAAATACAAAAGAAATCATCAAAAAGAAATAATTTTCTAAGACTTCAAATCTAATTTCCGAGGAAGCAAAAATAAAATAAAATAATAATAATAATAATAATTTTAAGTTGGTGGGTCAAGTGACCCACCAGGACCTACTGTGGGTCCGCCAGTGCGTACACACACACATTATAAATTATTTTTTGCAAGGAAAAAATGAATTGGGCCTGGCTGCCAGCCCTAAATCCATCACTATATAAAATTTTTGGACTATTCCTAAATAAAACTTTAGTGCAAGGAAATTGTTGGAAATGACCGGATAACCCAGGTGTATTTCCAAAGCGACCTTTG